CTTTCACTACTTATTTAACATAACATTGAGAATTCTAGTAATTTAAACATAACAAAAATCACTATTGAAACTCCAGTCTCTCGATTCCAAATCCAGTCATTCAGCTAACATTTATTCAGCCTATTATGTGTCAGGCACTGTGCTAAAAGGCTCTCAAACACAACCAATATATAATTAAAACTCTGAAAAGCACTTTCTTCCCAATAACCCAATGACTAGGAATTGCAAATATTACTACCATTTTACAGAAGGAGAAACTGAGGCTTAAAGACTTGGGATGGTTTGCCCAAGATCACATAACTAGTAACTGTTGTAGCTGGAATTCAAACCCAGTTATCTTCTGACTCCAAAATAAAATAGTCTGGGAAAATGGCAAGGCTGCCCACAACCCAATGTGTATCCAGCCCCTTCTGGCTCTAGTAGTGGCAGAAGTATACTGTTATAAATTTATGTCTGAGACATAATGCATATTATTGGGGGTGGGGAATGTATACTGAGGCTCTAATCCTGGAAAATGTCTTTTGGTATCTTCAAAACTTAGTACAGTACCTGGCACACACAGTAAGTGCTTAATAAATGCTTACTGAAAAAAACAAACAAATAAATAAATAATTGCTTACTGACTGACATCAGCTAATTGATGTCTTCCCCTTTCAGATTACTTTCCACCGTTGCATATGTCTTGTACATATCTAGTTATCTTTGAGCATTTTTGTGTATGTCTCCACCTTTGGAATGGGAACTCCTTGAGCCCAAAGACCATCCTTGTTTTCCTTTGCACCCCAACAGTAAGCCCAGCGCATGGCAAATTGTTACGCGCTTAACAAACACCTGTTGACTGAGCAGACCACAAGTAAACTGCTTAACTTAGTTTTTTCTAGACCTTAAACTCCCCAACTTTAAAATGACTTCAATGGACAAGGTGACCTCTAAAGTATCTTGAAGTTTGAATATCCTAGGACTCTTCCTCATAAAGAAACCAGGAAAAATTAGAGCAGCCCGACAGCTCGTCATTTCTCAAATTTCCCAGTTGGCTTTTTATTTATCCTCACCCAATTTCCTCCTTTAATAATCAAAAGAAAGCAGATTTTAAATCCCAGTGCAACAAAGCATAATCATAGTATGGCCCATCTTTGTGAACTGTCATTGAGAAAATTCCTGAGTCAATGAGGGTGGTGTGTTACACCTAGATGTATAGAGGACACATAAGAAGCATTAGTGATTTAACTAGACATCAGTCTCATTACTTAGTCTCCCAGGTGCTGGAAAGACAGAGAGAGGCAGCAATAGAAACAGGCAACAAGAAAACTACAAACATTGGAAGGGGCCGGGTTACAAAAAATTTTAAAGGCCAAAAAAACCAGAAGACTTTGCATTTGATCGTGGAGGCAATGGGGAGTCACTGGAACTCACTGAATTGACATGGTCAGACTTGTGCTTTAGAAAAATCATCTTGGCAGCTGAATGGAGCAGGGAACCCAGTTAAAAAATAAATAAAAGCTACTGCCATATCAAGGGGGAATGACGCCAGAAACTAGTGATGTCTGTATGAGTGAAGAGAAAGGAACAGATACCAGAGATGTCGGGAAGGTAGAAATGATAAAATATGGCAATGGATTAGATATAGTCTTTTTAAATTTACAAAGCATGTATTATCTTATTTGAGTCTTCCAACATTCCCGAGATAAGTACTACAGCTATTATTATCATGCCCCGTTTTACAAATGAGAAACCCAAGGGGCAAAGAAGTTAACCATGGTCACACACAGATGTCAAAGACAGAATCTGAATCTAGGTCTTCCTGACTTGAGTCCAGCACTTCGATCTCTTAAGATCCTATGCTTCAAACTGTTACAAGTAGCAGTATGATGCCACAGAACAAACCCTGGATCTTAGAGCCTCAGTTTCCTCATCTATAAAATGAAGAGGTTGGGTAAAATAACTCCAAGGTTCCCTCAAGCTCTAAATCTATAGTCCTATGGCTTACTGAGGCTAGGAGGCAGTCTGACTGGGGAGATGTGGATTCCTGTCCTATCTCAGTTAACTTTCCCCCCAACCTTGGACAAGTCAATTAAGTTAATAGTACTATTACACACTATTTTACAGTAAGGCAGATAGGGACCTTTTGTAAAGTACTCAGCATCAAAGCCAGTTAAGAGATGTGCATTAGCAACCATCACCTAGATAAGAGATAATTCCAAAAGTGTCACTGACTGGCAGGTTCAGAAACACTCATTTGGAAAGAGGCCTCCACTCCAAGATCTACTATACTTTTCTTCCAGCAAAAAAAGAAAAAGAAAAAGAAAAAAGTTTCCCAGCAAACAAAGCACCTTCCTAAAGTGGAGGGCTCAGTTCAGCCCCTGCCTTTGCAGGTTTTCCCACACCAGTTGCTGAGGGATTAACTGTGCCCACTGATTTGCCTCTTGTGGAAGAAAATAAAAGAAAGTAAGGACCACTGTTGGAAGGGAGGGAAGGAACAAGAAAGATACCCTCCCACACACAACAGAAAACTCCTCAACACAACACACAGGCTCTGATCCATCAGATAGTCCTTCAAATGTGTTTGCCATTCATTCCCTACTCCAAAGAAAAGTTTGTTGTTTACTGGAATTCAGAAGCCATGCAAGGATTGTTTATTTGCTGCCAGCAAACATGCTTTATTATGCAGTAATTTTATCACATCCCAAGAAATGAAACATTCCCAAACCATTTCCAAATGGTCTAATATAATTTCAGTTATTGACCCTATAGCTTTTTAAAATTCTTGATCAAACAAACATGCAAGTGTGAAACTGAACTTTTTACAAACATCTAAAAATTCACACCATCTAAGCACACACATATACATATATGTATATACACACATATATATTTTTAAAGACATCCTAAATTACAAGTGACACCTATTCCTCTATCATAATGAGCAGACACCTGATTAAATGCCAGAGGAAGCAATAATAAGAATAAAATTTATACTGGAACCATGAATGTGATTTCTAAGCTGCACTTAAGAAAATATTTGGCTTCACATTTGGGCTGGTTTTTACATTTTTACTTTCTTACGTGCAGAATTTCTTTTCTATTCTGGTACAAAGAGGTGAGCCTCCTAAGTAGTCTTTTTGGCCCAGGCACAACCATTATCTAAGCTCATGTTTACAGTGGATATATGTAGTCTCTTTATAAAAGAAATCAAGAAAAGTATTTTCCTCCTAAAAATACTGCCCTGTGAGTGGTACAGATTTTTCTCATGTTGGATTTATTGCTATAGGGCTAAATATAATTTGCTGATTTAATACCCTATTATTTAGTTACCTCAGTTTGTGTTATGAAGCATGAAATAAATTAGATTATCCATACCACAGTATTTTACAGAGCAGTGGAGAATTGAATCTGCACAGCAAAAGAAATGTGCTCTTCCAAGTGTCAAAATACTCAAAAGTTCTTTAACTGAAGTACTCCAAAACTACAGTTACAACCATGTATGAATGAATGAATATCTAAGACCCAAAAGTTTCACTGGTTATTTTTTCTAAGGCAAAAAACTCCAGACTTGCTCCCATCAACACAAACAACAATAAACAAAAAACCACCTTCCAAATACCTCTCTATCCTTACACCTACCTGAAAACTCATGAAAATTTAACGAGAGAGAGAGAGAGAGAGAGAGAGAGAGAGAGAGAGAGAGAGAGAGAGAGAGAGAGAGAGAGAGAGAGAAATAAGAAAAAAGACTGACTTTCTCAACAGGTAAATCCTAAATATAACTCTGCACCTCAGTATGGAAGGAGGGTTTCCGAAGCTTCCCTCCCCCGCAAGACTGTATTTCTTTCTTTTGTACCCACTTAAAATGAGGTGTTGATATCACTTATTAAAACAGGCCAAGCTACCAACAAACTTCCTTGTAAGAAACTGAAGGAAGTGCACAGGAAGGAGTCTGCTCTCCCATGCTCTCGTTAAAGTGAGCCAATCAAATAAATAACTGATGGGAAAAGTAAGTGGGGGAAATGTACAGCCTTTCTTGTGTTCCCACATGATCAACTTTTCAGAAGCAACCCAGAACAGTACCACCAACCTTAATTACACTACTTAGGGTGAGTGCTGTGTTTGCAAACACACTGGGCGGCTGCATTTACAACTCCGAAGGGGGTGTGGGGGTAAGGCATGGACAGAAAACAAGGAAAATTCTACAGTTGGATTTCCTCGGTGCCCTGTCAAGTATAGAAGGTCATTTTAGCTATGGCAACTTCCATACTTCTATTTTCCTTATGCACTACAGGAGTTAGCTACTTGGGTCCTGCTCAACTTTCCCATATGCACCGATCATAAAATACCATTCGGCAATCTCATTCACCTTTAAAAAAAAAAAGTCAAAAACATTCATTGTGCAATGCTAAGAAAAGCTGCCCCCAAGATTCTTTTTCCAGTGCCTTCAAAATTGCAGCTTTTAATTACAATCAGAGGGGAGAGAATGTACAATCCTTAGAAAAGAAAGGATCCAACTAATATCACAGGATGACGAAGTTTAAGGTTTTAAAAAAAAAAGAGAAATGACCCTTCACAGAATAAAAGTTAATTTCCTCCCCGTCCACATGTTGGGGTTACAAATACAGAGGCACGGTTTTTAAAAGCAGCACTAATCACTTGGGGGTGTTTTACAGTTCAAAAAACAAGCCTGTTTTTTTTTTCCTGACCAATTGTGACAAAGCTTTTCATTGTCAAAAAGAAAGGGGGAGGGGGGAAACAAAAACACCGGGGGAAAGGGGAAAGGGGGGAACAAACAGCAAGGTTAAATTAAAGGGTATAGACTGCAAGCTGCATCTCCTTCCGTCAAGCCCCAGAGATCGATCGCGAACAGAACTGCAACAAACCCACTTTTAAGAAACATGCAAACACCGATTGCCCCCCACCCCCCACCCCGGGGTCGAGCCAAAAGGTTTTTTAAAACATGGAGGAAGGAGGAGGAGGAAGAAGAGGAGGAGGAGGGGAGAAAAAAAGATCTTTACCTTAATGGTACACTGAACAGGAGTCTCAGACATGTCTCACAGCGAGAGAGATCAGGAAGTTCTCAGTTTTTTTCCACTTTCCTTTCCTCTTCCCCAACCCAGAAATGCTCCAAACAGCCAGCCAGATGCGATCATTTACGAAGTTTCTTCAACCATCTTCACCACCACCACCCCCCCAAAAAAAAAACAAACACAGACCCCGGGGATCCTGCGTCTTCTGCCCTCCAGCAGAAGAGGCAACCCTTGCAGTTCTTTTCCGGGGGTCTGGGAAGAAGAGGTCGGGGTGAAGGAGGAAAGAAAGGGAAGAGAAGAGGGCTGGGGTCAGGGGACCCGGGAGGGAGGTGTATTTTGGTCGGCTCGGAGCTTGTCTGGTGGATGAGACTGTTTATCTGGGTCTCTCTCTCTGGCTTGTCCGTCCGTTCCCCCCCCTCCTCCTCCTCTTCCTTCTACCTCCTTCCTTCCCTCCCTCCTTCTCCTCCTTCTCCCCTCTTCTCTCCCTCTTTCTCTCTTAATGTTTTCCTTCCTGGAAGAGAGAAACTGAAAGGCGAACTGAGAAACCTCTATGCTCATTGATCTTGAGAGTTTCGGTGCTGAAACTGACGTGAATTCCCAGCAAAGAGCTCTGCCTCTTAAAGGAGCCACCAGGAAATAAAAGCTCAGGTTACAGCCAGGCATCAGGGAAATAAATGCAGGACGGGAGGCAGGCGGGGGGGTGGGGTGGGGTGCGGGGAGCGGTGGAGGAGGGGCTGCCGATAAAACAGGTGAAAGTGTTGAAACTAAGAGGAAGGAGGGTGCCCAGCCTTTAACTTCGAAAGGCCGATGCATCCCTGGGGGGAGGGGAAGAGGAGGAAATAAGGAAACCAGCAAAGGAAATAAAAAATAACACGGACTTAGCAACCCTTTATGCCTTAAGATTTTTTTTTAATCTTGCGCGAATGATTGTATCACATAAGTAAAAGTAAGGGACGTTTTAAAATGTTACATTTAATTTTTTTTTTGCATTCGGAAGCTACAGGAGTTATTAAAACACCTACTCATTACCAGCCTAGTCTCCTGTAAGCAACATTTAAAATGCATGAGTGGTTGGGGGTTTCTCCCTGCCTAAGCGCCAATGCAATGGTAAAAAGAAACCTGGGATGGTCTTTTAGGGATGAGAAATCTAAACGAGGAAATAAAACAATAGCCTTTGTTCTTCTTGACTGCTGCCTCTTTAAGAGAATCTACCAGGAAATGGGAGATCAGGTTGCAAACTGAACACAGGGAAATCTGGAGAGAGCCCGGGAGGGACATTGGAGACAAAAGCATAGGAGGTTGAGCCAGAATGATGGATTAGGAAGATAAAGTGAGCTAGAAGATAAAACCAGAAAGATTTTTTTTTCTAGGAAAATAGGAAAGGAAAGACGTAGGTTGTGTTGAATTCAGAGTACTGGGGGAGGGGACCACTCTAACGAAAACTGCATTCAAGAGAAGGAAAGAGTAGACAGTTATCAAAGGCAGTTTAGTTCCCGTTCCTTTTCCTCAACCTCCTCCCCCTTTTGAAATGAATTGCATTCATTGAGTGCTGTCCTTTTAAAGAAACAGCTACTTCCTAACAACTGAAATTTGCTGCTTGACTACAAAGTTAGCAGGATGTGTTCATGTAGATAAGAAAGAAGGAAAAAGGAAACACAATTCTAGAGGAACTGATCTTAAAAAAAAAACAAACCCTCTACCATTAGAATTTTCTTTAGAATCTTAAGGTAGGAAATGTTTTAAGACAAATTGGGGGAGGGGAGAGGAAGAGAGGAATCGTGTGAATTATTAAGAATACTTTACAATTAACTTGTTAAGCACCTTACAGTTACAAAACCTGCTCCCATACATTATATTTTCTGAGCACTTAAAAAAGGGAAGTAATGATTACTCTGAGCCACTATGGCTTCAGTAATAATAAGTTATGTACCAAACTAACCTTTTTGTTTGTTTTACAGTATTAACAATTGAGGCACCAAGATAATTCTATAGAAGCCTGCTGAAGATTTCGTTTTTCCAGGTAATTAGTGACCAGACCAGGAAGCAGTTCCTGAAGATTACTAGACTACCAGGTCAGGAAAAGGCTATTCACATATTATTATATCTGTATTTCAACAGGCATTTAGGATCATAAAGCTGAAACGCACGAAGAACATCAGGATTATATAAGTAATAGCAATAACTAGTAGAGTTATTTGAACCTGGGTCTTCTGATTTCAAGCTCAGCACTTTTATACTATATTTATCTCTGTTTGCCCGTTTCCTGATCTGTAGTGACTGGCATATGCTAAGCACTAAATTATTATTGTTATTTCCTTAATTGAATGTAATTGTTCCATACTTGATAACTCTAAAGTGGATTTAAAAAGCTGAAGGTTATTAGATTCATGATTTTTATATGGGATAACTTGGAAATGAAATTAACTGAATTGATGTTATTTGAAGCTTTGTTTCATGTTTCAAATACATGATATTGGTTGTGTTATTATTATATTTCTAAATTCTCTTCTACTGTGAAATTTGAGAGACCATTGTAACAGATATGCTGTCAGACAAAAATAACTTTTTAATCTAGCTGCTATTAGATTATGAATTAGGCTTTTAAAAGGATGATAAAAAAATAAATATTTGAAAACTGTTAAATATTTAATGGGGTATATTTTGTTATGAAACAATAATTAATAATAATAAGTTTATTATAATAGTAATTTTTCATTTGAAAATTGTTGACTATTATGAAAGTGTGTAGGGTGGTTTAAAGATGTAGCTTCAACATACTAATGATGAGTCAACTCTTAGGTATTTGCTATATGTCTGAAGCCCCGGAATATGAATAGTTTTAATTTATAAGTAAAGAATAAATAAAATGTTAATTGTTAGGGAAACATCAGGAAGAATATTCAAGCCCTAAGTTATAGCTAGTGAAATTTTGCTATTCAAGGTAAAAATTCTTGGGACTGTAATTAACTATTGTTTTGAACTTTGATTATAGGGATGGATGTCTGAATTGTTGTGAGCCCAGTAGAAGAAAATGGCATATACTACAGTCTGGGAACTGCTAAAGATGAATGTCTGTGCCTATGAAAAAGTTTTGGGGAGGACCTTGACCTGGCCTAAGATAGGCATCCTGACTCTATTTCCCCATTGTGCTCCTTTCTTTTCTGAAAAGGAAATTTCCCCTCCTGATTAATCTTGAGCCTTGCTTTTAACACCTGTGACTACTTGATTGGATGTCAGATAAGACTCATGCCTGGAATCAAACAGAGCTGAGGAAGGTTTTCCCTCTGTTATGATATATGTCATTGTTATAACTATATCCCTCTTTTTCCTTTTATGGCAAATTTCTATAATCAAGAAGTTTCGTAAGTACAATATTAAATCTATTAAATAGTAGATTGATACTGGAACATCTCTCAGTTACTATAATAGGATGCAGTTATGAGCATGACACTATTTTAAACTGTATTTGTGGTCAAATTATAATACAGGGTGCTATCCTCCTAAGGGGAAAAAGATTAGACAAAGTAGTAAGACAAAGATGTACTGTGAAAGTTTTCTAAATAAATGGAAAAGTAAAATTTGAGAAAGCAACAGGATTAGACTGTTTTCTCTAAGGACTGTATACATATGTATGTGATTGGCTTCCAAATATATGTCATAGAAATTCTCAAAATTGGATTAATCCTTAATTAGATTAGTTAGTTAACTAATTTAATTAATGTAATTAATTAAATTAAAAATTTAATTTAATTCCTAAAGTTTATATTTACCACCTTAACCCCTGAGCTCACCAACTTTAGGCTACAGCTGTCCCTCAGCTCAGTATCTTATCCTGGCCTCTTGCGGCATCTTGGTTTATACCTGCCTCTGCTTTATTGGCCAGAATGGGAGGAGTTCTTTCAGATACCCTCCCTTTGACCAAAAGGGAAATGGGGGGGATCCTCATGCCAAGACCACCCCTCTCCTTTTATTCTTCTCTTTTTACTGTTAGGAGACGCCCTGTTTTCCAGAGCTAAGTGCCAGTGAGCAAGCTGTGCCCTGAGCTTGGATCAGCAATCCTTTGTGTCTCACCCCCTGGATGATCTCAGCTACTGCAAAATCCCAGAATTGTTTCATACCATCATCAGGTGATCCCTGAGCTTGGACAAGCATCTGTAGTGCCTATGTTCTGGTCGTGAAGTCCTGCTATGATTCAAACTTGTCTCGTTGTTGCTGTTCTCCCTTCACTGTCAGGGCTACAGCTCACTTCGTAGCCAATGGTATCACTATTGAGATTTGTGCACACTAAAGTCGGTGTCCTACTGGGGCGGGGTTGGCACATATGTGTCTAGTTTCTCTCCTTCAATAGAATAAAGAAAGCTTTTTGCTTATAATCACTGTTAGCTCTTCAGTTTTATTTTATTTTATTGTTAGAGTTAACTGGTTTTAATAACCTGTGTGAGCTCTCTGATTGTTTTTTAGAATTAATAGCAGTTGCACAGCTGCTGTGGCTCTTTGGTCATTTGGTCAGGGTTGACAGTATCTTCATAGCTAAGATGGAAGTATATGAGATGGATGTGGGGTGGTAGACCACAGTTAGGTGAATTCAAAACTGATTGAACAACTGAACATAAAGACTACTGACAAACTTCTTGTTATTGTTTGTTTTTCATTCTCGAAGAGAACCAGTGACATCAGGAGGTGATGTCTTGACTTGCAAGTGAATTGGATTTAAGTGAGGCAGGGCTGTGCAAAGTCATTGGCTTCATTCTGTCCTCCAGAGTCACTGGCGTCCAGTGGCAAGACACAGGTCAGGAGGACTGATGATGGCAAGTCAAGACAAGCTCATCAAGGTCAACCTGAAAAGAAGTCCTATTATGTATTTACAAAGCTCTCCTTATTTCTGTCCTATTCAACATGATTATCAATGGTTTTTAGAAAGACGTTTAAAAGCTAAAAAAGATAACTAATATATCAGTTGACAGAATCAGGGTCTTATTAGGCTGGAATTATGAGCTAAAACTAGCAAAATGAAATTTAATAAGTATTACAATAATTAGTTCATTTTAAGTCTAAGGGCAATATAAGGGCCCCTAAGATCCATGTAGTTCCCTCTTTTGCAGCTTTAGGGAATGTACTTAAAGACTAATAGTTGTGAATTCCATCACAATTACTGCAAACGCCCAGTTAGGAAAATTCCTAACATTTAGGCAGAGGCTCTGTCTTAATTTACATTAACGTCTATTTGAACTCTTTGTGGTTGAGGAAAAATTCAGGTTACTGGAAACATTTGGATAACTGCAGTTATAGTGTCTGTGGATAGATGGGCACCAGAAAGGAAAGTGGGAGGAAAGAGCAGATCTTTTCCCAGGATTTCCTTTGGTCATTGAGTAAATGGGTACACTGTTATCACCAGGCAAGCTTCCATTCTGACATGCCAGTAGGGCTAAAGATCCTTTTCAGTATCTACTTTCTCTGCCACAAATCAGTCTTAATTTTTCATCCTTCTTTCACTGGTTGCCCTATAAATTCTTTCTATTTCAGCCCTGTATGAATTCTCTATTTCATCTGATCTTCCAAATACTTAGAATCTCTAATCTGTTCTAAGATAGCTCATCCCTTTTATGCAAGGGCCTTAGTGTATGACCAAGTCTCTCACACAATGACTTTGACTGCTTCAAGAATATGTATAGCTGGGGCAGCTAGGTGGCTCAGTGGATAGAGTGCTGGCCTTGGAGTCAGGAGGACTTGAGTTCAAATCCAACCTCAGACACCAGATGCTTACCAACTGTGTGACCCTGGGTAAGTCACTTAACCCTGATTGCCTCACAGAAAGGAAGGAAGAAAGAAAGGAAAGAAAGAAAGAAAGAAAGAAAGAAAGAAAGAAAGAAAGAAAGAAAGAAAGGTGTTTAGCTAATGCACTGTTGGTGTTATGAAATGGTTCAACCATTCTGGAGAGCATTTTTGGAATTAAGCTTGCCTTCTCAATAGGGGTAGGAGTAGGAAGGGAGGGAAAGAGAATTTGGAACCCAAAATTTAAAAAAAGAAATGTAAAAAATTATTTTTACACATAATTGAGGAAAAAATAAAATATTAAGAATTTTTTTTAAATGGTGTATAGACCCTGTTTACATTTGGTTCTGATTGATTCAGTCAAGAAATGTTCTTACTTAGCTTTTTTTTATTCTCTTTTTAACATTTTTTTGAATGTTGATATAATATTATATTTATTTTAACATTCATTTTTTTAAAATTTTGAGTTTTAAATCCTCTCCCTCTGTCTAGCTCCTTCCCCACTCACTGAGAAGGCAAGCGATGTGATATCAACTATATCTGTAAAATCCTGCAAAACAAAATTTCATATTAGCCATGTTGAAAAAAAAAGGCAAGGAAAATAAAATAAGTGAGAAAAGTATACTTCAATCTATACTCAGTTCATCAGTTCTCTTTCTGGAATGGCTAGTATATTTTATCTTGAGATCTTTGGAATTGTCTTAGATCATTGTGCTGATTGGACTAGTTTATGTTAATTATTGTTACAATATTACTGTTACTGTGTGCCTGGTTCTGCTCACTTCGCTTTGCATCAGTTAATGTAAGTCATCCCAAGTTTTTCTGAGACCATTTTGCTTCTTACTTCTTATAGCACAATAGTATTCCATCACAATCACATATCACAGCTCGTTCAGCCGTTCCCCAATTGATGGGCATCCCTGTAACTTCTAGTTCTTTGCCACCGCAAAAAAGAGCTGCTATAAATATTTTTGTATATATGGGTTCTTTTCCTTTTCCTTTTTTTTTAGTCTCTTTGGGATATAGATCTACTAGGTCAAAGGGTATGCATAGTTTTATAGCCCTTTGGACACAGTTCCAAATTGTTCTCCAGAATGGTTGGACCAGTTCACTACTCCAACAACAATTCATTAATGTACCAATTTTCCTCATCCCTTACAGCATTTGTCATTTCTGATAGGAATGAGGTGGTATGACAAGCACATTTAATTAGCTTTTCTCTAATCAGTAGTAATTTGGAGCTTTTTTTTTCATATGACTATAGTTTTGATTTCTTCTTCTGAAAACTGCCTGTTCAAAATCCTTTGACCATTTATCAACTGAGGTTTATAAAACTAAATTTGGGTTAGTTCCCTATATATATTTTAAAAATGATTCCTCTATCAGGGGAACTTGCTGTAAATTGCCCCCCCCCCCAGTTTTCTGCTTTCCTTCTAGTTTTGGCTACATTCATTTTGTTTGTACAAACCCTTTTTAATTTCATGTAATCAAAATTATCCATTACTTGCCATGATATTCTGTCTCTTGTTTGGTTATAAATTTTTCCCTTATGCATACATATGACAGGTAAATTTTTCTGTGCTCCCTTAATTTGTTTATGATTTCACCCTTTATGTCTAAATCAAGTACCTGTTTGACCTTGGCTTTGTAGAGGATGTGAGATCTTGGTCATCACCTAGTTTCTGTCAAAAATTTCTCAGCAATTTTTGTCAGATGGTGAGTTCTTGCCCTAAAAACTTAGATCTTTGGGTTTATCAAATACTAGATTACTGTGGTTATTTACTAATATATTTTGTGTCCCTAATCTTCTGCTGATCCATCATTCTATTTCTTAGTCAGTACCAGATTGTTTTGATAATTATCACTTTGTAATAGGGTTTAAAATCTGATACTACTAGGCTACCTTTCTTCATTTTTTTTTATTGATTCCCTTAATATTCTTAACCTTTTGTTCTTCCAGGTGAATATTTGTTATTTTTTCCTAGTTCTGTAAAATAATTCGTGGATAGTTTGATTGGTATGGCACTGAATAATTAAATTAATTTAGGTGAATTATCATTTTTATTATGTTGGTTCAGCCTACTCATGAGCAATTAATATTTCTGTAATTATTTAGATCTGTTTTTATTTATCTGGAAAGGATTTTGTAGTTTGTCTTGGCAAGTAAACTCCCAAGTGAAAGGAATGTCTCTTTCTATCTCTTCCTGCTGGCATTTTGGGTAATATATCAAAAGTGCTGATGAATTATGTAGATTTATTTTATATATCCTGCAACATTGTTTCAACTAGATTTTTTTTAGTTGATTCTCTAGGGTTCTGTAAGTATACCATCATATTGTCTGCAAAGAGTGATAATTTTGTTGCCTATTCGTGTTCCTTCAATTTTTTTTCTTGTCTTACTGTGACAGCTAGCTTTTCTAGTACAATATTGAGTAATAGTGGTGGTAATGGATATCTCTGTGTCACCCTTGATCTTATTAAGATGCTTCTAGATTATCTCCACTGCAGACAATGCTTGCTTTTGATTTTCAATAGATACTACTTATCATTTTAAGAAAGGCTCTATTTGGGGCAGCTAGGTGGCGCAGTGGACAGAGCACCAAGCCTGGAGTCAGGTAACATGAGTTCAAATCCAGCCTCAGACACTTGACACTTATTAGCTGTGTGACCCTGGGCAAGTCACTTAACCCCATTGCCTAGCCAAAATAAAAAAAGAAAGGCTATATTCATTCCTATGCTTTCCAGTGTTTTTAACAGGAATGGGTGTTTGACTTTGTCAAAAGCTTTTTCTGTACCTAATGATATATTCCTATGATTTTTGTTGTTTTTGTTATTTATGCGGTCAATTATACTTATAGTTTTCCTGATATTGAACCAAACCTTTATTCCTAGTATAAATCCCACTTGGCCATCGTGTATAATCTTTGTGATATTTTGCTCTAGTCTCCTTGTTAGTATTTTACTTAAAAATTTTTGCATCAATATTCATTTAGGGAATTGATCTCCAGTTTTCTTTTACTGTTTTTGCTCTCCCTGGTTTAAGTATCAAAATCATATTTATATCAGAAAAAGAATTTGCTAGAACTCCTCTACAAATATTTCAGATAGTTTATATAGTAATATAATTAAGTGTTCTTTAGATGTTTAATAGAATTCAGTTGTGAATCCATCTGGTCCTGGGGATTTTTTCTTAGAAAGCTCATTGGTGGCTTGTTAAAGTTTTGTTTTGTTTTTTCCCCATAAGATAGGGTTATTTAAGTATTCTTCCTCCTTTTCTGTTAGTTTGGGCAGTTTATATTTTTGTAAATATTTATCCATTTCACTTAGATTGTCAGTTTTATTGACATATAATTGGACAAAATAGCTCCTAATAACTGCTTTAATTTTCTCTTCATTGGAGGTGCATTTACCCTTTTCACTTTTGATACTGATAATTTGGTTTTCTTCTGTCTTTTTTTAAAAATCAAATTAACCAATGGTTTATCTATTTTAATGTTTCTTTCCCCATAAAACCAGCTGTTAGTTTTATTTTATTAGTTCAATGTCTTTTTTGCTTTCAATTTTATTAATCTCTTTTGATTTTCAGGGTTTCTATTTTGGTGTTTAATTGGAGATTTAAAATTTTTTTTCCTAGGTTTTTTTCAGTTGCATGCCCAATTCATTGAGATGCTCTTTGTCTTTTTTTGTTATTAATATAAGCATTTAAAGATATAATTTTCCCCCCTAAGTATTGCTTTGGCTGCATCCCACACATTTTGATATGCTGTCTCGTTGTTTTTCTTTTTAATGATATCATTGATTGTTTTTATGAGTGGTTC